AATTACATATATAAATTAAACAGTTCCACAAATATATTTGTTTCAAATATCAGAAATATGTTTTTTTAATTTTTAGTTATAGAACCGTAATTTACAGGAAACTGTAAATTTAATTTCTTCAACGACATTAAAAGAAAAGTTTATTTTTAGTTTTATTCTAAAACAATAAGAAATAGACCTGTCAAACCCTATATTTTTGTAATCAGAAAAAAATAACGAATTTATTAAGCGAATAATCAGTGGTTGTTTCCATTTAAAAAAACGAAAATTGTGATAATATCTCAAAATCTAAAACCGAAAAAATTTTTTTGACTACGTCATCCAATTCTCTATAAAAAAGTGTCCATATAATGTCTTAGTTATAATACTCCACCTATAATAATAACGAAGATAATTGCACTTGCTGGTTTTACGATATTTCCAATTTTGGCCTCTAGGGGAAAAACAAAAGACGATAGCGCTATGAGGTTTTTGGCATTAACAGTTTCTCGAAAAACGAGATCATGACATGTAAGCTACTTTTTGTCTAACTCTTATAGTTTCCGAGTTAGCCTATTCGGACATCGAATTTGAACCAGCCTGTACATATTTATTGTAAAAACGTGCTACAAAGTAATTAACACCTTTTCTAGGTAAATAAATGGCAAATAAACACTCCACATCATTTTTTGTGCACTTTTTCTTTTTGAATAACGAAAGCTCAAACGTCAGTGTGACATATCTATTTTAAAACATGATAAAACAAAACTCTCTATTAATTTTGCCAACTTTACAACAATTTGACAGGTATTATAGAAAAAAATGAACTATAAGTTGTGATGTTAAGTTTAACATAATGTTAAGTTTGATTTATTTGCCAAGATTGTCTTTACTGTTTTTTTTATATTAATTTAGTTAATAAAAGTTAATTATTTTATTTTTTTGTTTTAGATGCATTTTGTGTGCGTAATTCCACCCTACATGCACCCAAATATTACCGAGCCCGTTACGGTAAGGTTATTTGTGGTGTCAAGCGGTAAAACTAGCGAACCACAGCATTTTGTTTATACGCCCGTTAATGGGGCAGTTCCAAGTGGTAAGCTCGCGTTAATTCTATTTCACGACATTTTTCCATGAGGATAACTTAATGCTATTACTTTGATTTCAAGAATCATTTCAATGCCAAATCATTTTATTTAATAAATAACACGAATCTCTTAAAAGATTCAATTAAAGATAATCGAATTAATAGCAAAAACAAAAGCATTTCAGTTATTTTAAGTTACTCTCATCTAGCTTTTGCATGCTGATTGCATGGTACTAATTAAATCTGGGAAAAATGTTACTCTATTGTTCGTTTGTAGTTTAATAATTTTGTTTTGACGCGTATTAAAGTTTTTTGAGTGGCATTTTTCTTTGGCGTGATATTGCTAAAAAAGCGATTTACCCACCCCAATGAATGGTGATGTGTTAGCCATCGAAACAATGTAAGTATTGAAACTGCCGACTCCTATCACTTTTTTAGCAAATCACGGTGAAAGTTAACATATTTTGTGGCAAATATGCGCTAATGGAGAGAATTGAAGGTTGAGAGGATACGAAAACGATTGATAGACGCGCGAAAGAAACAATGTATGTGTTTGTAATGAGTGTCTTTGAAATGATTTGATGATAAGGTAGCACAATATTTGCCACAGTTTTTGTGATATGACAAATCCTATTTAGTTTTTTAATTTAATTTTCTAATCAATTATAGAATAAATTATAGGATTTGATCATGTCTATAAAGCTTATTCAAAAAAAATTTACAAAGAACAGTTTGATTTTGTATTTTCTTGTGTTTTTCTATAGGTTTCTTCAGATTGACACCATTGAAGTATATTACTGTATCTTTGTATATTTTGTTTTCGTTCAAGGAAATTAAATGTTTAAACGTTCTTTAAAAGAAAAAAATGTATTTTGTTTTTCTTGTTCAAAACGTTGTCATTGTATAATTTATTAATTTTTTTTTGTTTATTGTTTTTAAAGAAGAGAAAATAACGAGAGGTTACGTTATAATTTTTTTTTAATTGTTATTTAAAGGCCGAATAATTGTACTTGTAAAATTTTTTGATGCAACTCCTGAAGCTGTTTTCTACCGTGTAGCCGCCCCGGCTGTTCATCAGAAAATTTCACAACAATTTTACTGTTTTTTACTTTTTTTTTATTATTTTTTTTTGATAAATGTATGAGATAAGAAAAACACTGACAAAAGTACTGAACTTTTTCTTAAATGCGTTTTGCTTTCCACTTTGTCTCATACAGCGTACAGGCTCTGTATACGCAGAGGTGCTGCCTGCCGGAGACTGCTATCAGCCTGCGGTGCCTAACCTTCGCCGATGTCCGTGTCATTCAGGTTCTCTTGCATCACGGGTACTTAAAAAACCAAAAACACCTCATACAAATTCACATCACACATACAAAATACACATCAATCATACATACATCACAAAAAACAAATTATCATTTCGTTATTCATTTATAATTTATCATGTTCCTAAGTATTTCGCAATTACTAGTTTTTTTACGATTTACTTGAATCATTCTTGTTCCTTTTGTTAACTAATATTGTGTACAAGTTGTTTGTGTAATTTGACTTATTTGTGCGATTTGACGATGCTCCTATTATGTGCATATCTCATTTTCAATATAATTTGCGTTCATACAATTTTCACATATTATTTCGTAAATTACTAACATTTTTATTTTATTTTCTTTTTTAATTTTTTTAAGTACTGGAGAATATTTTTGAATACACACATAACAAACATTAATGTAAGAAGAGATTTAATAATTTCACAAAATATAAAAATCGCTTCTTGCATCAACAAAATACACAACACAGCGACAGTTACTCATACATAATCTACCTAATACAGTTTTTACCTTTTTAAAGTTACGTTACCTTTATTTATATACGTTTTTTTTTATTTATTTAACTTGTACAGTGTACAACAATCCAATTTTTCCTATTTGTTTCACAGGATCATCAAATTTCGTTTTTGTTAATTAATCGCCGTTAAGATTCTTAAAAGAATCTCTAAAAAAATCGGCGTTTATTTTAGGTAGGGCCTGGGATGCAGCCTTTTTGTTTCTCTTGCAGGAGATATACCGGAGGTGCCGTATACGCCCTGAAAAACCGACCCGCAATGTTCCCGCAGGGAGCGAATGAGTTGTGAAAGGGGTGGCGAGAGTGTTTAGTCTTTCAATCCTTTTCAAAACCACCCTCACACTCCGTTCATTCTATCAAATCAGTCTCTCTATCAAATCCCCCAATCTTTTATTTGTGTTTTTTTTTTAAGAACCCTCTCTACAAAAACCTTTACATCACGGTTTACCCAACATCTAAAACATTTTTTCCGCTCTCTATACACATTTACTTACCTGTTATTGTTGACTGTGTCATGATTAAATTTCGCTTCTTTGTATGAATCTGTTTGTACTATTAATTTGTGTATTGCAAGGGCGTTTTTATACCATTTCATTACTCATTCCTGGCACGTTATTGTTAAAATTTTCATTTTTTCCTTTCAATCGTAATCCGAAAAATATTCTCTGGTAAAAATTAGTTCAATCTTGGTTTTATTTTAAAAAACTTTTTTCTATTAATTAAATTTTTAATTTTAATTAACCACTTTTTTAATAAATAACATTTGTTATCTATTATTTTAAATTGATTTTAATTCAAAACCAGGGTATTTCACTGTTTAACCATAAATGGAATGGAAATACGTCTTGTGCATATAAAATTACTGTAAACAGGGGTTACTTTATGATTACTCTAGGTAATATTACGAAGTAGATACATTTTTTGTGTACAGAACTTCCCAGAAGGTATTGCGTATTAATTGCAGCGTACTCTGAATATTTTTCGAGCTCATACAATGAAGGGTTTGTACAAAACATACAAATCTTTTCATATGCTTCGCATACTGCTTAATCAACTTTGCACGACCACTCCAAAAAACATCTACCTTAAATTAAGCAAAAATCTTCCTGCAAGTGTCACCAAAATACAAAATGCAGAACTTTGTATTGATGCACAATATACGATTTATGGCAACTCTGCAAATTCTTACTTCATCTCCAATCTTTTTCATTATTTGCGCACCATATACTTGTGTCTACTTCTTAATTAACTAATTTTTGAAGCTAAACCTTGTAGGTCTATTTTACACTCCAGTTGTGATGTATGCTTACTTCCTCGTCTTTAGAGGATATTAGTGAACATTCTTTATTCTATTTAGAGTTGCGATGGCAGAACTCTATAAAAATTTTGGCCATATATGCTAAGATAGCTATCTGTCATTTCCTTCCAACTGCTTTCCCGCACTAATAGACAACTACATACCTAGTAGACAAGGTATTTTAAGCCATCTTATCATAAAGAGATTACCCAAACCATATCGATTTATATATCTTATCTAATAATGTAGAGAAGTAAAAATCACAAATTTTGTCGCAATATTACCAATTGTATCATAAAGTATCTCCTCTTTATAGCCAAAAAAAATATATTGGTCCATTTTGTTACCAACTATTTTGAGATTTGTAAAAATAAATTTAATTTTTAAGATAATTATATTAATTCTTATCTTATCACATTGTGGTGGTGGTATATTATTTAAGCTCTTTAATATTCAAAAATGTGTACTTAAATTCATGTTTTGAAAAGATTATTAAAAATATAATTTTCAATCAATATTAAGCTTGGTTTTGGTAGTAGAGAGGTTTCTTTAATTTGTTAATATTTTATTGACGTTGTATTTTTATCCATTTACTTACAATTTTTAGTTTATATCAACTTGTAAATTAATAAGCCTGAAAACTCGCATATTCATTTTATTATCATATATCCTGATGATCCCACTTATTAGGGGCACGATTAAGGCAGTGCACTGGTTGATGTGAATCTGTTATGAGAGTGGTTTGTTTGAGATGTTGTTTGGATGTACGTTTGGAGCGTTAATATTGTGGGTCATGTCTATCAAGCCAAATTAATTAATTTTAAAATCAAACTTTTTTAATTTTTTTATTTATTTATTAATTATTTTTTTATGAGATCATTTTAAAAGAATTTTGGCTTGAGTGGCAACTGTCCTCCCATTTTCTTACAGTGGTTTCATGGCAGCAACTGTAATATAGATTGACCTTCCCGGAAGGAGTCGTCTAACCAGTTTTTCATGTGTTTTACAGTACGCGTGGATTCGCAAGCTACATCAACACCAACAACATCAAGCGCCCCATTTCTATCGAAGATGATGTGGTCATCGCTTACTAAACAAGAACAAGACGTCGATATGATGCCCCCACCAGGAACTAACATGGTTCCGCTAGCACAACGCAGATCATCAACAAACACCAACACCGACAGCAATTCGCCACCGCTACGCGGATTGAAACAAGAACTTCTCGATGAAAATACTCAAAGCTCTATTATGGATCCCAGCGAGTTACGATCCAGTCGATATCGTCATATTTCCGAAAGCTCGTTAGATGTTCATCCCGGTGACTCTAATTTATCGATGATTAATGAAAATTCAAACATTAGTCTTGTAAATGAAAATAGTGTTGAGATGATTGTCAGAAGAAATTCGATGAGTCGTCCCGTAACTGTCTGCGACAGTTCGTTGGATGTTAACGTCTCGAATTCCAATCTTTCGTCGCTAAATGACGAATCATCTTGTAGTGTTCACCTTCAAGATAATAGGATATTCAATCAAGGTTTACTTACCACCGTTCATTCGGACATATCAAACGCGTCTGTTGAAGATCTCAAAGTTATGGATTTACGTAAAATTTCTATGGCAACCGTAGCCGATTTGGCGAACACTTCCGCTCCATCGCTAGCCACTTTGCAAAGCTTTGGTGTGACGGAAGCGTCCAGTGCTCCATTGCCTACCCAAAGTGGCCTAAGTGTGGAGTCGTATCTCACCACGCTTGAAAACAAGAACCGTTTGGTACAGAGTATGTTCGGACAGAAAGTCAATGAGGTAATAGTAACTGGAATTATGAGCCCTTCTCAAAATATATCACGATTAGGTGCAGTTGAACCGGCGTTCGTCCAGAATCAAAGACCAATCGTAAACGCACATCAATCGGACGTTCTAAGCATCGTCGCTAAAAGTGAAGCTGCCGCCATAGCTGAAAAAATGGCAGAGCAATTACCTATAACCACAACCGTTCCATCAATGCCTCCAGCATTAGATAACGCCATTTTAACTTCTGCCATTACAACCGATAAGTTGGACGCTTTAGTTAATTGTGCTGTAGAGACTCATATAAATAATTCAAAGATGATACGAAACACATCTCCCCAGCAAAACTTGATGTTGGGCAATCAAGATGTTTTATTAAACTCTCAAAACTCCTTAATGGTATCGCCTATTATTAACACTGCCTTGACTACACCAACGACTTTGCAACAAGCCATAAGTCAATCGCCGAATATTTCCCCCGAAGTCATTTTGAACTCTCAGGTTTCACCGAGTCTGATGTGTCGATCATCTAATATAATTCAAGACACTTTGTTATCGACCACAGCGTTTTCTGCCACGACTGTTGACAACCCGATCATTCAACAACAAAATTTAACAAACATTTTATCACCAGTTAATCAACCTACCACTCAACAATCTCATATGTCACCAGAACATTTACACGCTATATCACCGATTCAAAGAACGATTGAGACGGAAAAAGATATTTTATTAAATGCAACGGCCGATTTATTGGCAACACAAAAAAAAATTGCGTTTGGTAATATATTGCATCTTCCAGATGGGATCAATAATAACAATAACATCCAAACAAATAGTTTAATTCAAGATAGTGCATTACAAACGATAGTTACCGAGGCTAGTTTCGTTGGTAATCAATTTCCATCGACGGTAACAACCCAACCGGAAACGTTAACGTCGTCAAGCGAAATTGATAAAAGAAATGAGGATAGGATGATTCCGCCATCGTTTCCGTCGATGAGTGATAACGATTTGATTAACATCATTAATCCTACGTGTTTCGATCAAGGTAACAATTTTCATTAAGATTAATAATCCACGGATTTGATACCACACTTTTTAACGGCGACATTTAACAAATTGTATGAGTCCAGTGCATGATTATTTAAAAAAAAACTGTTTCGATCTATTCAATTGGATTTGAATCATTTTAGATTATAAATATTAAATAAGATTCAATTGAATGGATAGATATATTTTTTTTCGTATGTATCTCAAGTATCTCAAGTAGTTCGTTAAATCATAAGAATTAAAAAATATTAAAAAATAACAAAAAAAAAAATGTATTTTTAAAATAAATTAGGTTCTAGAAAAAAATTAGAATTAAAAATTAATTTAGATTACAAAGATCGTTATAGTGCATGTTAGATGTGCTTCTTTTTATTGATTTTTTTTTAATTAAGTAAGGGATTCACGAGTACGCGTTTTTTTATCAAAACTAACAGGTGTATTCTTTTCAGTATAGTTCATTCATTGGTGGAGGCCATTGCTGTGTGATCTTGTGAGTTTGCGTGACTTTTATTGTTAAGTTATGCTCCCATCTGTGTTTGCGATGAGCGAAAGAGTGGCTTAAAAAATTATTGTGATCACCTAAAATTTAAGGAAGCGTATCATCATAACTCAAAACAACATCATAAAAATTAAAAAAATAAAATAAACATCATAAACATTCTTCTTCTTTCATATAGCCTTCTTGTTTTTTGTGCAAGTTACAATGCAAGTGCCGCTAATATTGCTTCGCGAATACGCGTCAGTTTGATTTTTGTTGTTCAAGAAGGGATTATTAATTTGTTTGGTTCATTATTTTCAATTACAAAAACGATATCTTTTTGACTTTGTGGACCTTTTCGTGAAATAGGTTTTTGTTTGCGAGCTTCGGTTTCCTGTGTGTATTTATTTTAATTTCGTTGCTGGACACTAACCGAAATCGAACAACGCAACTTGTTGTTTTCTTGCATTTGTTATTGTTATACTTTAAAATATTTACGCTGCTATTCCAATGTTCGGGATATTCGATGTTTTCTGTGAAAGCAAAATTACTTAAAAAAAAAAACTCAAAACGTTCTCGTAACGTGTCCTCAAGACACGCACACTCAATAGAATATTCTCTTTTTTACGTTTTGTACAACACACAATACGATGACGTAAGGATCACATAGTTTTTAATTTCTTTTTTAAAGAATGAACTAAATGCAAGCGACTACAGATGATATAAAGAATATAAAAAAGAACTATTTTGTATGATAAATGTATAAAATTTAGAATTATGTATCAAAGTGCTAATATAACTTGTTAAGTGGTGTATATTATCGAAAATATATATGTTCAATTTATATTATGGATTTTTACTTATTTAAGGAAGAGTAACCCGTAAATTCTAAGGTGTTTAGATGCTATTTAAAGGGGAAGATATTTTTAGATGTGCGGATATCTTTTTTACCGATACCAGATCGTTATTCAGGTTTTGGACACTGCAGATAATAATCAAGTTCAACCCACTTTATTTATATCAGGTATGTCATTAGCAACCTCATTGTAACAATCCCAATACGATGTATATAAAATCTCTTGTTGCAGTTTCGTCTAGTTTCCTTCTCTTCGCTTGTAATTCATCATCTCATTCATTACTAACTGAACTATCGCTGTTATCACTTCCGATTATTAATTAAAGTATCCTCTTTTTAATGCAATAAGCCGTTTTGAAAAATCACTTTTAGTTCTTAAGAAATAAATTTTTGAAATGATCGTTTTCGAATTTTTCAATTTTCGCCGATTAAGTTTTAAAAATTCGTATAAAATCGACTTCTTGGAATATGAGTATGAAAATTTCCCAAAATGTTAATAAAAGTGTCCTCTTTCCAATGAACCAACATGTTTTGAAAAATAACTTTTAGTTTTTGAGAAAACAATATTTGAAGTTTTGATAAAATTTTCGCGCTCTCATTGGCTAAGAACTGGATTTATCTATCGGATAAATTTATCA